TATATATGCTACTTGTTTAGGGCTGTATGGCTGTTTATTTGAAAAGTGGTTTCACTGCATCATTTCAGACTGAATGTGTTTCTAAGTTGCCATCCTACAAAAGAATAAAATTAAATAAAAGGCAGGGACACTACAGGAAGTGAGGCAGAGAAGAAAATGTTATGTATTCTGCTACCCCAGCCCTTTTTTGCCTATAGTGCTCCATAATCTGATAAAAGGGCAGTATTTTTAAACAGTGCCACCGTCTCCATTTTTCATGTGAAATTGCAGTTAATTGCATTACGTTGGTCCGTCCACTGATTGTGTGTTGCAAAGAGTTTGTGTGTTCCTCTCACTTGCCTGGCTTTGTTTAGATGCACGTCTGATCGCACTGTGTCTCGTTTTTATGCTTTGAGTGTGCATTCATGGCCCAACAGTAAGTACTTTGTAAGACCAAGGCTTGGGTTTCTCTTAAAGTGTAACTAAAGCCCCTGTGAAAGTGTAACCCCGGCCCCAGGCAAATTTGAAAAATTCCAACAAAGTGGGCGGTGCCAAGAGATACTGAGGAGCATGGCAAAGTGTGGGGATGAGCAAGGAGGTGTGGTCAAGATGAGGAAACGTGAAAGCTAGCTTAATTTAACAAGCTGGCATTTCTGACAACAGGTCTGGTTAGTTTCACAAAACTTTTCACCTGGTCACAAAAGGTTGATGGAGTTGGGTTTGAGCCTTTGAGGTCCAGTTTCTGACTGTTAAAGTGATGTTAGCAGCATCATTGCTAACATGAGCGGTTGTTCAAACCAGTGCGCTCGCTATTCAAACTCCTGACTTGTTGCAGGTGTGTGTCTTTAATTGAAAGGCTTTTATACCCGAACAGCCTGTACCAAATAACATAAGCATGTTTTATTTTAACCAATAGAAAAAAATAACTGCAGTAGCCACCATTCAACCCAAAGAGGGCAGCACCAAGATGTTTTTAGACCAAATATTGCAGAATTCAAATAATTTAGGCAAAAATGTCAACATTTGCACAGAAATATAAAGATAATACCCTTAAGGCACAATTTGGTTTATCTGTTAAAAAAGTTGTTTTTTGGTTTAGCTTCTCTTTCAGTCTCATAGAGAATGGATAAGTATGATACAACTGCAGTGAATCGTGCATAACATTTTACACCTCCATAGTTTTTTCCCTATTATTTTAATAAAAAAACCTTGCTAAATTCTGTTTGAATTTGGAGAAAATTTAGGTAGATCGTAAACATTGGGGTGTATTCAGTTAATAAAAATGCTTAAGACTGTTTCCTCACCTCTATTACATGTTGGTTTAAAGCCAGCATGAACTATCCAATTGGGGATCCAGTCAGTGCCACTCATGGGGTTGCTCTGTATGTATAGTTGTATGTGTTAGTGCATGTTCCTGCTATAACTGATGGATATTTGTAGTGGGAGAGAGAGAGTTGGCATTCATGTCCACTCACTGCCTAATAGCTTATTGAACTGCTGCAGCAAGGATTAGAAACCTCCAAGTGAACATCCAGAATATTGCATATGCTTGTGTGTGTCTGTGCTGCGTGCCTGTGTTTAATGTGTGGCCAGTGTCCAGTCAATAACCCAGAGTTTCACATAAATCTACGAGACATACTGTAAAAGGTCTTTCACAATTCACTCATCAATYGAAATGTATTAAAAGAGAAAGAAAGCTGGTCAACGGCTGAATAATAAAGCTATGACAAACCCAATTCATGGCACAATACATAAATAAAAAAGATGTTTGTTTTTTAGATGCTATAAATTAACATGAAGGAAAACAATATATTAGGTAATGAAAACCAGAAATAATTGCTTTTGTTTTCAGGGAGTGTTTTATTTTGTTTTGCACATACATTTGCTGCTACACATGTGTTCAGCTATTAAACTGAATCTTTGTTATAGTTTATAGATGTATTACTGAAACAATTAGTGTGTTGATATTTTTCCTCGCGTTTTTAATTGACATGCTGATTGATGTGTTGCCTTCCAGGAGGAGCCGTTTGTAATGGTGTCAGAGAACGTGTTGGGGAAACCGAAGAAGTACCAGGGCTTTTCCATTGATGTCCTGGATGCTCTGTCCAACTACCTGGGCTTTAAGTATGAGATCTATGTTGCTCCAGACCACAAATATGGCAGCTTGCAGTCTGACGGTCACTGGAACGGACTCATGGGCGAATTGGTCTTTAAGGTGAGGAAAAGATTATAGGTTCATCATGTGGTTTGAAAGTTGGAAAACTTCCAGAGAATGTTTATTAACATGCTTCAATAATTTTATTTTAGGGCTACACCTAAAATTAGTGGTGACCCCTGATACCAGCTTTTTTACAAGTATTTGTACTCAAAAATGTGCCGATGCTTGGGATCAATACTGGTATCAAAAGGAAAAAAAATGTATAGGTCCTCTGGACGGGTTTATCTTTAATGAAACGTTTCGTCTCTCTTCAAAGAGACTTCTTCAGTCTGAGAGTTTCAGGCAAAATTCAGGCTTTTGAGTCCTGCCTCCAGGTGACTGATACTCACATCACATGGCCATGGTTCACAGGTGACTGATACTCACATCACATGGCTATGGTTCACAGGTGACTGATACTCACATCACATGGCTATGGTTCACAGGTGACTGATACTCACATCACATGGCTATGGTTCACAGGTGACTGATACTCACATCA